CATGAAAATAAACACAAACACACATGCTTCATCATTCACACATTGAACCAAAAACCCCTGACACCACACCAACACTGCACTATACGGCAGAATTCAAAAGAGCTTCTGCCCTGGGATTGAAGCTGTTTTTCAGCCTATTTGTCCTTGTTTTTATTATTCTGTACCGTCTGCCAGATGGTAATAGTTCAAAAAATGGGTTTCCAGGATGAGATGGATCTTTGAGAATGTTTTGAACTTTCCTAAGGCAGCGGGAGTTATAAAGCTCTTCCAAAGAGGGGAGGGGGCAACCAATGATCTTCTGGGCAATGACATTAACCCTCTGGAGTGCTTTCCTATCTGCCACTGTGCAATTGGCAAACTACAGAGGTGCAGTGTGTTAAAATGCTCTCTATGGTGCAGCGGGAGAAAGTCACGAGCAGTTTCTCATTTGGTTGTTGTTTTCTGAGAAGCCTCAGGTAGTATAAAGTCTGCTGGGCCCTTTTGACCAGGGCTGCAATGTGGGCACCCCAGGTCAGGTCCTCTTTTAGGGTAACACCCAGAAACTTAAAACTGGCCACTTGCTGCACTCGGTCTCCATTGATAAGCAAGGGCTGGATGTCTGATCTGTTCCTTCTATAATCCACTATAAGCTCCTTGGTCTTATTGGTGTTGAGGACCAAGTTGTTATCTTCACACCACGAAAGCAACCGGTCCACCTCATCTCGGTAGGCAGACTCATCCCCCCCGCCCCGGAGATAAGTCCCACCACTGTTGTATCATCTGCAAATTTAGCAATAGTATTACTATTACTTGGGTTGAAGGGTTTTTTTTGGCTGTGTTCATCTGTTAAGATTGACCAAGTACAATTAAATGGGTTGGGTGTGGCTGCGCTATTTCTACTCCTATATTTTTAGGTATTATAATTTTTGATTTTTTTTTCCTTTAAAGACTGCTACCTGAAAAGTTAAACTATGCTTAACATTAGAGTAATGGTTATTATTTAAAATAACATGTCCAAAACCTATTTTCTGGAGTTGGCTTCTTTAAAATAACTATCATGAAAGTCTGCAACATGTCGAACTACAGTTAACTAAAAATGCAAAGGAAATGTCCACTGTAAATATAATAAGAAGCTGTTGCTTGAACTACTAAAAAGTATGTTAAAAGAAGAGGCAACAATGAATGTAACCTGACTGGTTTTTAAGTAGTGGAATTTCATTTCAAGGCAATAGGCAATGCAAGTGTGTATTTATATTTTGTACCTCTGAACTAGAAGTATGGTTGAAAACACTGCATTGAAGGCAGTGAGCCTTACAACAGCAAGGAAGTTTTTTGAAGGAAGGGTGCACACCAGGAGGGGCATCAGGCAAACCTAAGAACACTGCTGAAAGGTTCAGATGTATACCAGTGCTTAGAGGATGTGGAACAAACAGAGATTTTAAAGGCCTAGTACAAAAGCAGCAAGCAAATATGATATGTTTAGTATTATTCAAACTTGATAACACAGGATTCAGAACTCAGGATTGTAATTGTACCAGGCAAGTAAGTGGGAGACCATAAATTCTAGTCCTGCCTTAGACTTGAAAGCCAGCCAGGTGATCTTGGGTTAGTCACATGCTCTCAGCCCAACCCACCCCACAAGGTGGTTGTTGTGGGAAGAGGAAAGTATGTTGGCTTTTTGAGTTAAATCAACCATATGTTCCACATTCAGATGTTTTCAGACTGGAATTCCTATGAATTCTGCAAGTTGATATCATGGCAAAACTCAAGGATAACTAGATGGAAAACCAGTATAAATAAGAGTATATGGTTATATAAGTCGGCGTGGTTTATACATATGGTTGATTTAGAGCGTTTAGTTTATATAGGACCATAGCCCTTGCCCAGACATAATGGGAAGCATTGTAAAAAAAAAAACCAGATATATTCTCACTTTCTCCTTTCCTCTCAGTCGCATCAGACATTTTTTTCCTGAGCAGAATTCTAGTTTGTTTAAAACTTGAGATGCAGAAGAGTGAAAGAAAATATGTAGCTCATTGTTTATTGACAAAACTGGCACGTGAAAGGTGGTCATCATTTTTATGTAGGTATGTATGTATGTATGGTGGTTGCTTCTGATGGCAGACTGTCCATGACACAAACACATTTTATTAATAAGATTGAGTTGTAATTGTACAATATGTCATTTGAATATGTAGATTACAGAAATGGCCAAAGGACAGCACACCAGCAATGGAATTTTCAGAGAATTCTCAGAAACTTTTTTTTCTATATGTCAGATTATAACTTACTTACTTCTATCTGGACCTTTGGGCTTACACCCCTCCTGCTGCTTCTGATAAAATTGCAGCTTGCTTCTGCTTCCTTTTTTTAAAGGCAAAAAATAAAACAAAAAGACATGGCTGCTTGAAATGCTTAAAAAATTCTTGGGAAGAACCACATTTAGAAAGGGGGAGTGTCAAATTTGGATGAAGAAGGGTGGGTCAAATAAACCGAAGCAATGAAAATAAGTATGTCAAATTGTAGTCTAGCCACCTAATCCAGAACCATGGATAGCACTGGTGAAGTTCTTTCCTCCTAGAACAATGCATCGGTGTTTTCTTAGTAGGAAACAAAAGACAGGTAGGCAGTTATTGATAGTAACATCTTTTCTGGGGAAGCTGATCTGCTAAAACACTTTCAAATTTTCAGACTTCTAGGAAAGTGGCAAATTGTGATCTCTCTCTAGGACATTCTGTCATTCTTATTAAAGAGACTGGTCTATGTCCAAGAGTGGGATTCAGCCAATTCAGGCCAGTTCAGGGGAACTGGATATTAATTTTACATCCAGTTCAGCGAACCGGTAGCTCCAAAGACTGGCTGGCCCTCCCCTCCCAGGAATCACAGGAGGTTCTGGCTCCCAGGTAAGTGCAGGGAGGCTTGCTAGGTCCCAAATGGGGCATGGGGGGATGGCGCACCTCTCACCCCACCCTGTTTTGGCTCTCCTCAGGCTTCAGGGAGGCTTCCTAGGTCCAAAATGGGGTGCGTAGGCCTCCCCGTACCCCATTTTGGGCCTAGGAGGACTCCCTATAGCCTCCTGGGAGCAAAAATAGGGCATGAGGGTACGAAAGAATGAAAGAGAGAGAAAGAAAGAAGAAGGAAAGAAAAGAAAGAAAGAAAGAAAGAAGGGGGGGAAGGGAGAAAGAAAGAGAGGGAGGGAAGGGAGAAGGAGAAAGAAAGAAAGAGGGAGGGAGGGAAGGAAGGGAAAAAGAAAGAAAGGGAAGGATAGAAGGAAGGAAGGGAGAAAGAAAGAAGGAGGGAGGGAAGGGAGAAAGAAAGGGAAGGAGGGAGGAAAGAAAGAAAGAAAAAAAGAAAGAAAGAGAGAGAGAGGGAGGGAGGGAGGGAGGGAGAGAGGGGAGAAAGAAAGAGGGAGTGAGAGAAGGGAGAAAGAAAGGGAAGGAAGGGAGAAAGAGGAAAGTGAATGAGATATGGATGGATGGATCAGTGGATGGACAGATGGAGAGGAAGGAAGGACCACAAACCGTGGCATTAGATGCAGCTTCAGAGGATGCTTTGAAACAGCACAACCATCCAGGGCTGGAAAGGACCTTGGAGGTCATCTAGTCCAGAGATCACCAACCTTTTGGACCTCAGGGACCACCAAACCCATAATTTTAAATCCTGCAGACCAGAGACCCTGGGAAAATCCCCCAAAAAGGTTCCCCACCTCGTTTTCCTACCAATCAATCATTCTTTATTTGGGATCGCAGGATACCATGTCCAGCTCCGTTCTCTGGGGAGAGGGAGAGAGACTTTTGGCTTCATGCAAGGAAAACAGCAGAAGGAGCAGAAGTCTTTCTTTCTTTCCACCAGAAATGAGTCACAACAGAAACTTGTTGTGCTGAGGCAGCCTCTTGGAGCAGGATGCCTTGCAGGGTCCCAGGTTTCCTTGCGTGCAGCCAAAAGCAGAAGAAGAAAGAAGCGGAAAGAAGCAGCCCGGTGGCCAGGCAAGGTGTGTGGGGCAAGTTCCCCCCTCTGCCCTTTCCCCCCTCCCTCACTATCTTGTGTTGTCCACAATGCAAGCGACGCAAGCCCTGTGTTCCTGCAGGCCATGTGGGTGCGCAGTCTTGTGTTCCTGTGCAGCCTGGATTTGCTTTGGGGGGTGCTTTATGACATTTCTCTGCGGACCACCAAAATTTTCTCATGGACCACCAGTGGTCCCCGGCCCACTAGTTGGCAACCACTGATTTAGTCCAACCCCCTGCTCCAAGAGCATTGTTAAAGTGAATTTCTCTCTTTTGACCCACCTAGTCACATGACCTAGTCACGCCAACCAAGCCACACCTACAGAACCACTTGTTAAAAAATTAGAATCCCACCCCTGTCTATGTCTGTTGTTGTGAGAATCATGTCCTGCACTTGGAAAGGTGTGAGATGCATACAGCTTATAATAGTTGAGAACCTCAATCTGAAATTGGACTAAATGTAAGGAATATGAATTTAATTTATAGGGAGAAAATTATGAGGAATTTGGCAAGGGAGACTGAGAATGAGGGTAGGTTAAAATGGTGGCTCACTAGGGGGTACTTGCACGATGAATAGATATTGTTTACACATAGGGTTAGGAAGAAGTGCTTGGGACTAGGTCAAGAAGCAACATACTGAGGATTGCCTTGGGATGGCTAATTGCATTGGATATAGAGCCTGAACTGTGTTGCAATGTAATATTGATTTCAAATTAATCATGGTCTGTAAGAAATATAATAAGTAAGTTTTATAGTTGCTAATCACAAAGAGATTGTGGCAATCTTCTTAAATTTGTGGGGGGAGAAGGGAATACACATTTGCTTTTTAAAATGTCATTTCCCACAACTTAACCACAGTTTTTGTTGAGTTCTGTGTGCCTAGAAAATCAATCTGTCAGAGTAAAATGTAGTGTGAGGTTAGGCATATGTCTTCCCAGCGACTCCTGTCTACAGGCAGCATGTTTTCTATTTTCAGGAATTAAACCAAAATTGTCAGTGTGCTGAGTAAAACAGAAGAACTAATTTGCTTTTAACTTCTGTTCATTTGCTGAAATTGATTTCTGCAGCCATGACTTGGCATTCATTTCTGCAGGAGACAATGAGATCCAGGAGAGCGAGGTCTAATTAGTTGGAAATCTGCGGTCTGTGTTATGTGTACCCTGTTTTGAGATCCGTCCCTCAGTAAGTGACTAGGCTGAACTATATCTTGCCATTCGATATTTGAACTATATCTTGCCATGTTTATCTTGCAAACATGGAAGAATGTCCCATAGGTGAAAGTTTAGTATGAAAGCTGAACTTCTCATCTATGTTATATAGAATAGATATTGCCTTAATTAAACTGACTTACATTATAATCCATCATTGGAATAGTTAAGAGCCTAATGCTACCTTACCTTGGTGAGGACAATTAACCAGTGTAATAGCTTGCCTTCAGAAATCATGGGCACCCATCACTGGAGAGTTTTAAGAAGAGACTAGACAGCCACTTAATCTGAAATAGTATAGGTTCTCTTGCTTGAGCAGGGGGCTGGACTAGAAGACCTCCAAGGTCCCTTCCAGCTCTATTCTATTCTAAAAGTTATTTATTTTCCCATCTAAGAATTTCTCCATTGTAGAAGCACAATTCTATCACCATTTAAGTATTCTATAGTTGAAACTGAACTTAATTCTAACTGCTTTGGATGTAATAGATCAGGGCTAGTATATCCTAACATTTCTCTCTATTCATCCATGGATTGCCAAGTTCACATTTAATACTAAATCAGGATTCTTTTTTTAAAAAAAAAGTTTTTTATTTTAACAACCAACAAAACAACATAAGACATACAACATAAAACATAAAACATAAAAACATCATCCTTCTTCATAAATTTACGAACAGTGTATCGGTTGGTTTACCACTTTTTTTGTGCATCCATTTCCTAAACGCTAATATAAACAATACATTATTAAATTATAATGTCCTTTTGGCTGAATTAACACATGGCAGTAAATTAGTGCATCCATACTTCTAAAGCTATGTATTTTTCTCTAATATTAAAAGTAGCAAGCTGACTGGTGTTTATGTGCCTGTATGCATTTGTGTGCAGGTATTTTTCCATTTTAAAACAAGAAATAGAATAAAAATTCTGCTTTATGGATATAAAATCTAGATTCACCCATAGAAAGCAAATGGAATAAGGAATATGGACAATAGATTTGGCTTTGTTTATTACTGTTGTTTTTAATTGATTTTAACTGATATGTGTTTTGGTGTTTTATTGACAAAATCCAAATGCAGTACAGTTTTTTTCAGATGTTTTTGTTTTTGATTTAATCTTTGATTGTTCAGCCTGAGATTTATAGAGTATAAATCAAAAACTCAAGGGATAGAGGCTAAAGTAGAGTAGTGGAAAAGTACATTTACGTCTATGCAATATCTGTGTGAGGCTACTTTGAAAACCTTTGTTTAATAGGAAGTCACTGTTTACATATAGGGCTACTAAATTTCCATAGTGAATGCTCCTCATTTATAGTAAGTTTTTCCAAGTTATTTATTTTTTCAATCATAAAACTCAAACAAAATAATTGAACCTATACTTCATTCTCTGTAAATTATAGTTATACTTGATCACAGGGGAAATGCATTAAAACAATACATTACAAATCTTACTAAGATTTAATATATGAAAACTATGTGGCATATTAAAAATCTTCCAAATAAAACAATCAATTTAAATAAATAAACACCCCAATTTCAGGTGTAGAAGTGCATTCTTTGATTTATGGCAAACAATCTAGAGGGCAATTTTCTTATTTTGTTAAGCTGCTTCAAGAAGATGTTTAAAAACAGGATGAAATGTAAATAATGGCACATACTTTCAAATTATATTGGTTATTATTTTGTTTAACAGACATTCACAGTCTTACTGGATAAAAGCCAATTTTAATTATTCACCTCCAAATGTTATCACCATAGAGAAACATGGAAGGATTCAGATAAGTTTATTCAGGAGAGATATCATGAAAAGAGATGCAAAACCTGAAAAGCAGACTTGGCAGGAAGGCTTCAAAATAAATTAGTCCAACACAATCTGGTTCTATAAAAGAATATTAATAGGGACTTCCGGTTTGAGCTTCTTCAGTGACAGACCGAAACCTCGTCTCCCCGAGGCTTCGATCCGTGCTCACCGCTGGAGCGCCCTGAGCCGGCTGGTTTTGGGGCTAAGCCATCCCGTAGAGGTGGTGAAGAGGGGGGAGACTGCCTGCAGGGTTGAGGAGAGCCGCATCCCTCCTCCCCAGCTGGCCATTACTCCCTTTCCCGAAGGCGGTTGTAGCGGTGGTCAGAAATGGCCACCACAAAGAAGAACTCGACCGGAAAAGAATGTGCAGGAGGAAGATAAGAAGAGAAAGTTTTGGTTGACCGGGTCAAACAGCAAAAGCAACAAATAAGGTACCCTGGAATTTAAACTTAACAACATTGTTCCCAAAGAAGATTTTGAAGCTGCTAAGGAGAGAGAGAAGGGAAAGGATTAGGTTTTTTTTCTTCCCTTCCTTATACTGACAGCTAAGAGACTTAAGCAAGAAACTGAAAAAAAAATCCACTTTGACATTAATAGGCATCTAAGCTGAAAATAAAAGTCAAAGGGATAAATAAAGATTTCTGGACATTTAAAAGTTTTTCAAAGCTGGAAAGGAGAAAAAAAAAGAATAAAAGGGCAGGATCTGGAAAAATGGAGGAGACTGCCTGGAATTAAGGAATGGAACTGTAATTAAAAGGAACTTACAGTGAAATTTTAACAAGATTCCTCAAAGATACATTTTGATGGAAACTTGGTAACAAAATAATAGAACCCCAGGAAGAGAAAGTGGAAAAAAGAAGCAAGTAGAAATAGCCTTGGATTATTTGGATTACTTGGTGATTTTTGGTTTTTGCATCTAGATGACTAAAATTAACTGGGTGGTTGTTTAAAAGTTTTTAAAATGGTATCACTCTTAGAAGAACTGAAAACGGAACTTAAACAATGGAAAGAAGACGCACAAGAAGGGAGAAGTTCTTTTGGCTTTGTGTTTCAATTCTTAGAAATGGAGATCTGGAACTATGAGAAGCAACAAGAAACGCTTGCAGAACAAGAAGATTGGGACAAAGAAGAAGCCATCTTTAATGATCAAATAATTTTAAGTTGGGGGGAAAAAAGAAAAGGGGGGAAGAGAATGAAAGGTTTAAGATTAGAAAAAACAACCAAAAAGAAGAACAATTTGAAAGATAAGTATAATATTAGAAAGCAACAGAAGAGGGGATTACAGATGAGAGAGTTAAAAGCAGAGAGACGAGGGGGTAAAAAGTGGAGGGAGAAGAAGAGGGGGAAGAAGGCAAGGAAAAGAAGTTGTAAAAGACAGAAACAAGAAATGGAGAAACAGGGAAAAGATATAAGGATTGTAACCATAAGTTTGTTTAGAGATAATGGGTGAAAATTTAATTGTAAAAGGGATTCTGCAAGGTACATAAGATAGCTTTGTTATATTACAATTAGAAATAACTTTAGAAAATACGATGATGGATAAAATATTTATTGTAATGCAGTGGGATGTTTGTTAATAAATAAATGAATTAAAATGATTGAGAGAATTAAAAGGGAACATTTTTAATTATTAGTAATGATTTATAAAAATATGGAAGAAAAAAGAATTAACTATGGAAAGTTTATAAGTGTTCCCAAGGAAGTATGATATTCAATTGAAAAGAAATGTTAAAGATGTTAAGATTTTAATGCATATTAATGATATAATTGAATTGGGATGGAATGTGTTTTATTTACATATATATATATAATTTTTTCTTTTTAAGAATATAGTGTCTATTTTAAGAATGTACCAAGCAGAATTTGATTGGAAGTTATGTATTATATTGAATGCTATAATCTTAAAGCTATACATTGAAGCTTAAATAAGAGCTTGAATGGATAAAATTAAAGGATATAAAGGTGTCATACTCTAATTGGTAACTACAGGGAAAAATTTGTTTAATAAGAAAAGATAATGTGAAATTGTAACAGGACAGACAAAAGTATAAATATAATGATTTGAATTGAGATAATCAAAACAAAATTGAGAAAATTAGAAGAGGGGAAAACTATGTAGAAAATATAAAATGGTAATAAGATATGGAATAGAATATAAAAATGAGCATGAAATTGAGTTTTGTGTATGTATGAAGAAGTGATAACCTGGGACCATGCTATTTTCAAAAAAGATGTTTTATTTGTATTTTGTTTTTGTGAAAACCCAAATAAAATTTTCAAAAAAAAATCTTCCAAATAAAACAATCAATTTAAATAAATAAATACCCCAATTTCAGATGTAGAAGTGCATTCTTTGATTTATTGCAAACAATCTAGAGGGCAATTTTCTTATTTTGTTAAGCTGCTTCAAGAAGATGTTTAAAAACAGGATGAAATGTAAATAATGGAAAATACTTTCAAATTATATTGGTTATTATTTTGTTTAACAGACATTCACAGTCTTACTGGATAAAAGCCAATTTTAATTATTCACCTCCAAATGTTATCACCATAGAGAAACATGGAAGGATTCAGATAAGTTTATTCAGGAGAGATATCATGAAAAGAGATGCAAAACCTGAAAAGTAGACTTGGCAGGAAGGCTTCAGAATAAATTAGTCCAACACAATCTGGTTTTATAAAAGAATATTAACCATTGCATATTACTAATTAGATGTTTTGCAGCTGCCCCACCTCAAAAGACTCTGGATGCCTTGCAACATCCAAAATATGATTAAAAACTGAACAACAGAACATAAGAAACGATAATAGCACTGGAGAGAAAAAAACAAACCTGAGCAATCAAACTATGGTCGAAGTCCTTAAGAGCTTTCCAGGATCCTTAATATTATTGCCTGCCATTTCTTCTCCTGCCCTCAATCTCCTTCCAAGCCAAAGAACGCATGCATTCACACTCGTCTCCTAGTCTATCACCAACCCCTGGAAGTTCACTCCATTATACACTTACTCTTCAGAGCAGATC